TAGAAGTCTTATTCCTTCTGCTGGTCTTGGTTGCTCTTTAGCAGCTAATGTCTGATAAAAATCTTCTGGCATTATGTATTTCTTGGCAAATTTGGTCATTGTTATGTTTTTGCCCAGAGGCTTGAAATGAATGTGAGTTTGGGGAAGTTGTATCCTATGGCAAGTGGTGTCTTTTACTCTGCAGTGCTACGCGCTGGATATTTTTAAATGTTGTGATGTGTGTTGAGCAATTGGACTGTGGCAGAACTGTGACTGTGTGCATTGCTTATCTCAGCTGGTGATGCTGTAAACCAGTAGGATGGGCCCGAGGCTGGTGATGCTTTGGGGTAGGATCGGAGAGTATCTGCACCCGGTCCTTCATTTCCCTTGTGAAGTGGAGGCTCATAAGAGGTGAGCCTGGGTAAGAGTGCGCATCAGGAGTGGAGGGAGGGAGGAGCAGTGATGTAGGGGTTTGGTGTCCTCCGGTTTTGGGAAGGTCAAGGAAGGTTTGGTCTGGACGTTGCAGCTATTCAAGAGTTGTAGCAAGACAAGCGCAGAGTGGCCCTGGTGCCTGTGCTTTAGCAAGAAGGTCAAGGTCCTCAGCAGTGGAGCTTTGTTGCCTGTTTGGAACCCTCAGAGATTTAACTCCTCATGCTTCGTGGTGGGACCATGGTGTTGTAAAAGCCAGCTGCAATCACATGGTGTGGGAGGCACAAGTTTACATGAGAGGATGAGGAATGCCTTTTATCCTGAGTTTCCTTCATGGCCTTAAGAAAGCAGTAAACACTAGCAAAGTGCAGGGAATTGAGGTCTATGGATGTCAGGCATGGTGTATCCTCACTGTTAGTCTTTTTCCTTACTGGTTGTTTTGTCTCCAGGAGACTTTTTAGAGGTGTTTTGACTCCCTTGTGCTTGCAAAAACATAATGGAGGAGAATGTTCCAGTCTCTGCTGATTAAGGGCAGTGGTGGTAAGACAGCAAGCAGATAATCTGGCCTGAGGAGTGCCCCAATAGCAGGTCAACAGGACAAGGGGTGTGATGGTTTACCCTGTAAGCAGAGCTGCCAGTTGTGCGCCTGTGGGGCATGTGATTCAGAAAAAGTGGACAAGAGCCCCCAAGAAGCTGGTGTCATCCACTGTGGCTCTATGCTTTTTTGCTGACACGTGGGAGGTGGTTGCCTGTTTCTAAGGAAGTACTTTGTAGCCAGACTTTGAGGCAGTCATGTGCGTAATGTCCATGGACCCTAGTTCTCTTTAATCCTCATTTCCTGTCAGCAGATGAAGGCAAGCATGAGCATTGATTCACAGAAACAATGTGATGAGCTGAGGCCTCAATGCTGAATAGCTAGTTTGTCCTATAGATGGCTTCTGCTTGATCCTTCTGAGCCTGTGCACTGAGCAACCACGAGGCTGTATTGCCTGAAGGCTTGTTGGCATCTTCTTTTGTTGAAAGCAGCTACAGAAGTGGTGGCTTGTGCTTCAGAGAGAGCTGGAGCAAGAAATACTTCCGTTTTGCTCCATCTGGGGAGTACTGTGGACAGCTTGAAGAGTCATCTGCAGCATGTCCATCTGTGAAGGTGTTCCAGGCTTCAGTTTTTACTGTATACTTCCTGTCATAGGTTTTATTTTTGACTTGGAGTTTTTAACCCTTCCTTCTCCCTGTTAATTTTGCAGCACTGGAGGCAAGTGGCGGTCGCGGCGGAAGATGATAACTCCCACATTCCACTTCACAATCTTAACTGACTTTCTAGAGGTTATGAATGAACAAGGAATTATTTTGTTGGAGAAACTTGAGAAGCATGTTGACAAGGAACCATTTGATGTCTTTCTGTATGTCACTCTGTGTGCCCTTGATATCATCTGTGGTAAGTCCTCCTCAGTTACTGTGGTGGGGCTGTGAATGACGCAGAGGCTCATGAGCACAGCTGTGGTGTGAGGAGACAGTTGAAGAGGAACATCCCTGCATATTGTGTGAATGCATTTCCGTCCTCCAAAGGCCATCCTTTCTCCTAGGGTGTCTTGTGTGCATCTGAGCAGGTGAGTTTGTGGGCAGCATATGAAGGCATGGACCCCAGTTGGAGGTGCAACCAGAATCAGCTTTATTGAAAAAGAGCATTCTTTTACACTCAGTGCTCAAAGAAAAACTTCCGTTAAAACTTTTCCATCAGCTGTGCTGCAGGCACCGCTTACATGACTGTCCTTCAACCACAGCGCTGATCACGCGTGGTTGCAGCGGGCCTCCAATCACAGTGCCGATCACGCGCTGTTCACGCTTACGGCTTCACTTTGTCATTCCTGCGGTTC